CTCTTCAACCTCCCTCTGGGGCAGAACCATCCCTGGATGTGGTCTTGCCGCCAAGCCTGACTGACCCCCAGGATGCACCTACACCTCTGGGAAGGAGAGAGGACCCAGGGTGCCATCCCCCAACTCACCCAAGTCAGCATAGTTCCTCCTGCAGAACTGCCGGCGGCCGCCAAAGCACAGGTCAAAGGGCTGCTCATCCGGGCGCCGCAGCTTGTGCCCACTCTCAATGGCAGCAAAGGCTTCCTCGGCATAGCGGTAGGTGACAAAGCCATAGTTATCGCTGACACCAGAGAAGAAGGAAGGAGATCAGCAGCCATACAGTATGTTTGTCTCTCCTTGGTCTGCACTGTCCCCTTGAGTAAAGGGAAAAGGGCCAAGAGGAACCATCCCCGTGAAGGGGCTGACCCATGTGCCCACAGCTCTTACCCCTCAGAGCGGAAGTGCAGTGTGCACTCCTCGATGTCCCCAAACACAGAAAAACGGTGCCGCAGCTCTGACCGCGTCATCCGGCTAGGGATCTTGCCGATAAACACAACTCGTCGTTCCTCCTGTGGACAGGTATGCCCCATCAATGAGCAGGACCTCTCTTACAGAGCACCCTCCCCTTGTGGCCACCCAACACAGTGCCCTGGCCAGGGCCTCCCAGTTAATGCTGCCAGCAAGACTGTGCTCCCACAGCTTTCTGAAGTGACAAAGGAGTTGTGGACCCCCTCAAATCTCCAGCCCCAGTCTCCTAGCCCTCCAGCACTCACTATTGCACGTTCCTTCTGGAGGATCCTCTGCCTTTGGTAGTGGTCCTGTGCATCATAACTGTATCTGGGAGGGCAGAAACCAGACACATGAGCTACAGGGTCAAGGGGGTGTCAGAGGGTCATGGGGAGGCCAGAAGAGAGTGATCCTGAACACAAGGAGGTACTGAAGGAGTGGGTCCACCCCTGCCTGAGACACAGGAGGCCAGGAGATGGGTTGGGGAGAGCTCACACCCCTGCAGGGTGGCCATGCTCACCTTCTCCGCCTGTTACTCCTCCTGCGGGGTGAGGGGGAGCGGGACTGGCTGCGGGATGTGGACCTGGATGAGTAGGAGGATGCTGACGATGAGGATGAGGACCTGTCCTGGGACCTGCCACATGATCCACAGCTGGAGTGAGAGGAGGAGCTGTGGGAACATCTTGAGCGGTGGTACCTGGGGGAAGGAGAGACACAGCTCAGTGCTGAGCCCACCCCATGCACATCACTGTGAGGCTCTGGAGAAGAAAGATACCTCCATCATCCCCAAGGTATCCACCACACCACTTGGACAGGATTGATCCCCAGGATGAACCAGACTATGGAAACCTCTGCCCAAGACTGCCAGGGCAGTAACAGCACAACAGAAATGTTGCCCCACTTGGGTTCCAACACTGCAGAAAAAGAAGCAGGCTCACTGCAGGCACAGCCTCTGAAGAGCAGGCACAGGGCTGTGACCGTGAGGGCCAAAGCTGATGTGCTGAGCACCAGACAATGCAAAGGATGACACTGGAGCCATCACATCCACGTCACACTCAACAGCCGTGTGAATGGAGACTGTGAGACCAGGGCCAGGGAAAGCTTATGGGCAGGACCAAAGCCCCTCTGGGATCAAGCTGTGCTGTCTGTAGCCAGCACAGTCCCTCCCCAGGTATGCTGCCATGGGTGGTGCCAACATAGGCAAACCCAGGCCTGCTGGGGCATACTGCCTGGTACTGCCACATATTCTCTTGGAGGTCAGGATGGTACAGTCCATGGGGACATTTCCCAGCACAAAGTCAGCTGCATTTGCTGGAAAGCCAAGCCAGACATGTTGTCTGACAGTCACCGAGCTGTACATCCCTGGGACATGGCACTGTATACCTGCCCCTTCCAACTCCTGCCTCTGCACTTACTGGCCATCAACCGCAGGATCATGGTTGGACAGACCCCTCATACACAGAGATGCCTCCAGGGAAGGACAGAAGAGAGACCCTTTGTGAGCTCCAGTGCCTCCCGACCCAGCTGGGACAGGTTGCACATCACTCAGATGGCACAAAGACTCCAAAAGAAACACATGACACACAGACCAAACTGTCCCACTTTCCTATACAGCCACCTTTGTAAGGAGCACAGGGAGCCCCTGAGAGGCAGCCAAGCCAGATGGGATTTTCCCTGCTTGCCTCCAGCAGCTCCCTGGAGCTTCACTGTGGCTCCTCTCATTTCTACACCTAGTGCTGCAGCCCCACAGCACAAACACCTGCAATACCCCAGAAAAAGCATCCAAAAGCCAAGGTGCAGCCAAGAACTCCTAAGGCGGTGTTCCAGGAGGAGTAAGGAAGCCTGGCTCAGTGGTGGCTGTGCAGGCTGCCCAGAC